TATCTGTCGTATCGATGCTTGGCGCCATTGCAATGAATAGAGTGTAGATGTTTATGTAAATTTAATTTTATAGGTATATTTATTTTAAAAAATGCGAATTAAATAGAAAATTTCTGAAGCTGTTGTTAACATAAAGAATGAAATTAGAAATTTTAGAAAATATTTTTGATTTTTCAGTATTTTATTGTGGCGTTTTGTATTCGTGAATAATCTGTCCAAATATCATTAAGGCATTATACAGAATCAATTTCATTAAAGAATAAACAAATTCTCGTCAGAAATAATGTGTCCAACAGAAAAAAGTATCTTTCAGTTTACAATGGCAAATAATTTCTGTTCGTCGACAGCAAATATGAAATCTATCAAGAAATGAAATAGCCATTTTCACTTAAAAATCTTATCATCAAAAATATCTTCGCACGAATTGCTCGAAAAGCAACCCACGATTTCGTAGTAACGAGAAATATAAAGTTTTCCGACAATCCGAAGAAGGTATCGCTCACATTTATGCTTCCCGCAGCCGTTCCACTTAAATCTCAATTTCAACCTTATCGTCTGCTCGAATTCAAGAATCCGCTCCCTCTTAACGCAATAAAATATTCACGCCTCTCGAATTTTATTTTTCACCCTATTCATTTTACGGTCGCTATTCGCTTGCTTATCCAGTCGCGTGATATTTTACATTTTCAAGAAAGGTTATAACGGGTTAATGAACACGTCGGCCATTACGTTCCACCGCCGCCGAGCAGTAAAAATTGATTTCATGAAACACGATTATATCCTCGAGCCAGTTCGTGCGTCCGGCGTCGATGGTTGCTGGTTCAGTGACGTACCGACGCGAGTTCGACGATTATTCGTCTTTTTTCAATGTAATCGCAATTGCTGGGCAAAGTAGACAAAGAAGTAGGGTTCAATTCCAGCGCAATGCTAGAACTGCCGAGCGTATAACATGATTAACACTAGATTTACGGACATCCGCTGGATAGTTTGTTTTATTGTTCTTAGAAAAATTGATATTCGTTAGAAATTCGTTAGAAATTAGAGACTTAAACGTAGGCAATTAAGAATATATAATCATGTAAATGCACAAATAATATTTATAAAATTCATTATGAGTTGAATTCTAATGAATGCTATTTATAAAAATTCTAACAACAGAGTGTTTTCGGTTTCTTCGTACCTTTGTTACTGTTTCAAATGAAGATTTTTATTTGCGAAGTTATTTCGGATATTTAACAAGTTTAAAATATTAATAATTGTGAAGTGAGGAAACTAAAACCTGTCATTTTGACGGGCGCGTGGTTCTAGTGAAGTTGAAGTTCATGATACTGCAACCAACAGACGAGTAGTCGAAATGATTCATTTTAGATTCCTTTATCACAATCTCTAAGAATATAAAAATGCTTTTCTAAGAAATTATAATAAGAAATTGATTTACCACTGTGAATTCTAAGGTTCAACAGAAATCTTAATATTATGGACTTTTGTAGTTTACATTAGAAAATACATAGTAAGCAGTTTGATTGATAGTTCTAGTGCCAATACATTAGCCGAATCACTCAGCAAAATCGTTTCAAGTCTCTACAGCGAAAAGATTCGCGTAGAAAACCAAAATATTTACACGAACATCATACTATTAGGTCTACCAGAAAGATCTGTGCAATAATATCATCTCAAGTTTCCAAAGATATAGCATTTTACAAAAAATCCAAAATAGAATACAAAATTACCATCACACTAGGAAGAAATCATGACTAACAGTAAAAATTACAGTGGTCGATAAATGTTAATACAGAAATTGAAAATATATTATTTTATAATTAAAAAAAAGACAGAACTTTCAGACAGACTTAATATTTCCGTACAAAATACTCGAAAAACGGAGATCCACAGAAATTTCGTCAAATCTCCTACGAGAACGTAACAAATCGGAATAAAATGCAATAGCCAGACAACACCCGATTGCCTGCACGAGGGTTCAACTGTCTTGGGCTGTTGCCCTGGCGAAAGGAGAAGGACCTAATAGCGTTGCCCAGTTTTATTGGCTCGTAATTTCCGTTTCAGCTGTCAGAAAACCAATACCGAAAGGGTTCGAGGGACGATATCGCGTGGAGAGAAGAGGTCGACAGTGACCGTGGTCGGGGCCAGTTTCGCAACTTATTGCCACAAAGTGGTTTACGATTCGTACGAGGGGAGGGAGGCTACAGAGCGCAGATAGCGCGCAATCCTCATCCTCGTCCTCCTCCCGCTGCCATGAGGCATTAAGCAATCGCGAAACGCCTGGTTGACGCGCTTTCAAGGAGGTTCGCTCTGCCTAACCTGTTCCACTGATCTAAGCTGGTTATCACAACCGTTCCCGTTTACTTTGCCAGGCATAATTTACGTTTCTTTTTCTTCCTCGC